AGAGCACTGAAAAACCTCAGCAGTGTGGGTATGACTGCAGGGGACGAACACACTGGAACGGTTGAGTGTCACTCTGGCAGCTCTTCCCAGCTCTTCTCCCCTGCCTAAAAAGAGGGGATGATGCCACTTTGCTCTGATATCATGTAACATCTACTGCTAAGGTAGTTTATTAGTGTAACAGGGTGATCTTACTAATTTCCTCAGACTGGAGATGATCTGCTTCAAATGTCTCCTTGTCCTTAAAGCCCCATGTGCACAGGGAAGGATCCACAGCAGAGACTCAGCCTTGCTGCAGCAGTCTGTTTGTGAGCACCCTGTGCTGCAGCCTTTGCCTGCAGCCGTAGGACACCTGTGAAGTCAGTGTTTTCATCACCCTTAGGACAGTTCCTCTGGCTGTTGTAGACAGTGATGTCGTGTCATGTGCCTGAATGAGATACTTGTCACATGAGCAGGGGAAGGGTTTTCTAATGTTAAATATAGTATAGACTGGAGGTTTGTGTGCCACATTCCTGTTATAAGGCGGGGGGGGGAATGTATGTTGGGGCACTTCTGGGAGCTGCCAAAGTCACAGAAGTACCAATGTTAAGGCAAGGTTCTAGTATGGATCATTAATACCTTTTTTTTTTCCTTTCCTACTTACAATAAAGGTTGTTAGTGAAATCGTTGGCAAAAAATATTGTTCATGTTGTCAACTCTGGTAAAATCAGTGTTTTGGAAGGAGGGCAGGCAGATGGGACCATGGTCTCTGGAACCAGCCTCAGCCTTTTCTGGTGAGGAGTGATTTGTTTCCAGGTCAATGCTATGTGCTGATATAACACTTGAGCTGCACGGGGTGAGCACAGCGTGCGTTGCCAAGCTGGGAGAAACAGCATTTCCCTCGGTGTGGGCAAGTTCAGACCCCTGTCAGAGCCACACCTTTGTTCATGCTCCTGTTTCAGTGCACTAAGCTGGGGAGGTGCCAAGGAAACTCCTTGATTAATCACTTTACAGATGGTTTAGACACAAATAAACAAAAAAAACCCCAAACCAACCAACCAAACCCATTCAGCTTCTATGAAGGTAAGAGAGACATAAATTGATTTTTGCCAGGATTAGACTCTTACATGATGAGAAGATTCGAACCCAAAATAAAACTGTTATCTTGACTTTCTACAGTGATTTCTTTCTTCCCCCCCAGTCCTTTACTTTTCTCCCACTGTAGCTGCAGGGAATGCCCAGTTTCCTTGTTTTGGATGCTGCAGCATCACAGGTTGCTTCTGATTATTCTGAGAAGCAGCAAGGCAGTGGAGGCTAGGCTTGTATGTGGGGACAGGACACAGGCTGTAGGCAAGGCTGATGAATCCTTTGGTGGTGGGACGGTAAATGTGAAGCCAAAACCAGAACTTGCACCATTTTGTTCCAGGATGTAAGAGAGGATACAGCCTGGGCTAAACCCTGTGGACCCTGAGAGAGAACAACAAGGGGTGGTCTGTCTCTATTCTGGAAATCTCGCAGGAGCTTTGCTTTTCTGTCAAGCCACGAACCCTCTCCAGCTCAACATCTTACAGTCAGTAACTTTTTTCAAGTGCCTTTTGCATCAGTAGCTTCAGGGTTCAAAATCCTTCCTGGTACTGCACAGGGTTTGTCCCTGCCAGGGATTTGCCAAGTGTCATGGCACTTTTAGATCGGTGTTGGGCACTGATACAAGTATAGCTGGATTAGGAAATTTTGGAAGGTGACTCAGCACACAGCTTGGATGAGCTCAGCCCCTCCTGCCCTCTGCCTCTTGCCCTGTACATCCTGCCTAGCTAAAAGCTTCCTCCTCCAGGGTGATGCATTTAGAGTAGCCAGACACCGCTGTCTAAGGGAAAATGATTTTGTGTTACACGTGGCTGAGTGAAAAAACATTGGAGACGTGGCTTTTCCTTTTTTTTTCTCAGTTGCACGAGATGCTATTTCTGGACATCCAGTGGTCTGCATGGGAAGCAATGCACCTACTGCTCACAGCTAGTTAAATTCCACAAATCACAGCAGTACCAGCTCATCCACCGCACATTTAATGTATTTGTTGAGGTATGTGCTAGTGCTTGAAGTCTGACAAACTGCACATCCAGTTCAAAGCGGTGAGGTGATTCATTGTCCCACAGAAATGTGCAGAAATTAATTCCTCAAAGTCTTTCTCTTGAAATGACTTGCACATGAGAAACTGTACGTGGCTTAGGAACACCACTGGATTCCCAGAACAGTGCAGCCCTGAGGTCACGGTTTTGTCATTGCAGAAGATCTGTGAAAGAAACGTTTTGGTCTGGCATCAGCTCAACGCTAAAATATGCCACCTTGGGAAGTCAAGATAACCCCTCGGCATCTGTCAGCCTGTTCCCTGCTGTGTTCTGACTAGGCTGCTGGGTTGGCTTCTGGCTCATTTTAATGCCACAGGAGGAAAATCTTGGTTTGGGTATTGCCCTGTATTGTCAGTCATTTTGTGAATGCACATGGATTCCTTTGTTTATTTGGCTACCTGAAGTGGTGCTTCAGACTGGCCCACCCTGGATGGCCAGTTTGCTCAAGGCCAAGCTTGGCTTTGTCCCCAAAGCTGCAGTGAAGAAATGAGACAAATAAGCAGGGTTCCCCTGCTAGGAGCTGTTTCTGACCCGGTGACAGAGATACGACACGTGCCAAACAGCACGAGGGTTTTTGGCCTGGTAAACCAGATCTAAACCTCAGGGCATGATGCAGGGATGCACGCGATCTGTGTCCCATCCTGGTGCAGGGCAGAGAGGGGCCAAGAAACAGCGACTGCATTTTCACAGCAGGGTTTCTCAGTTACCCTTTATGCCATCTGGGTCACTCTTCCTCAGATCACCTGGATTTCTTCTACATTACAAGCCCCATTGGTGGGGTCTGGGTACCTCTCACTGACACAAAGCCCACCCAGGGCTGTGTCAACAGGTTTGCAATTTATTTTTTTTCCACTCCTTGCTCCTTTTGAAAGACACCAGGGACAGTCTGAGGGTTAGACAGACAGGGAGAGATGGCAGTACCTGCTGGTGTGGAGTAAGCAGGTGGAGACTTGGCTTCTCTTTGTTTTCCACTATAAACACTATTTACTTCTTGGTGCTGCAAGATTGGGTAAGAAGTTAAAACAAATGGATTTAGAAACTATCTCAATAATGCAGGGATGCGATTAAGAATAAAACATAGTCTGTGTGGCCTTCTCCATGGTTTTGGTTTGCAATTTGAGTAATACAGTTATCCGGCTGTGTTTGGAAAGCAGTGTAGTAATGTACCACATTTCTTGCTCCCTGCCCACGCTGCTGTGTTAGGGGAGGAGGGCTCGAACCCAAGGCTTGAAGCAGTGGGAATGTTGTTGCTTCTGCAAGGCAGGCTTTATTTTTTTTGCCCTTGTCCTGGAGGTGGGCATCAAAGTTTTTCTTCAAGAGCTTCCTTTGCATAGCTTACCAGTGGGTCTCAAATACCACATCCTTCTTGCATCTGAAAAACAGCACAGGGCAGCTTCTGGAATTGACTCTTCTCATTGCAGTTAATCCTTAGGGGTTCCTCACACCTTTTGGGGTACATGGAAAATTATTTCCAGTGCATTTGTTCTCTTCAGTAGGCATGGAATGTATTTATTCCTCTCTTCCTGAGTCTTCAGTTTTCCTTTGCAGTTCAGCAGTGGGATCTGCAATGCTCAGGCAAGGTGTGTGCAAGGAGCTTAGTGGCTTGGCTCCTGGGTGAAGCTGGGTGGTGACATGCACTACTCCCACATGGAATTGCACCTGCATTAACACTGTGCCGATGGTGCTTGGACAGCAAGAGTTTGGGATTTAGGGGAGACTGCAGCCCTTTTAGCACCAGCATGTCCAGTACAGCTGCTATGTAATCATCAGGGTTGCTTTGCAGGCCTCTTGCATAGATCAGGGCTATATCCAGCCACAAAACTCACCCAGCACTGCCTCAACCCACAGCAAGAGGGAGAGAAACATCTCCTAGGTGGTTTTGAAAGCCTTTTTACGTGAAAGCATTGGGTAGATTTCCAGGTATCTCAGAGAAATATGTCCAAGCTCTTACTGTTTGTGTCAGACAGCTGTTTCTGCTCTTGCCCAGCTTTCAGTGCTGCTTTTCCCTATAGCAGTTTCCCAATGTCTCACCTAGCTGCAAGGCTAAGAAGGCTTTGTATTTCTAGATGCATAATCAATAGATCACTGTGTTTGGCAGACTTTCCCCCCATCTTTACTTCTTTATCGACCTGTTCCTCTACAGAAACCTCAGGAGGCAGATTAAGCCATGAGTTGTTACCTGGACTCTGTATTTTTACCCTTTTGTAAGCAAACTCAAATCCTGAAATTGTGAAACCAGGAGAACAACTTGGGTTGTGATTTCTTTAATAATCCAGTCACCTTCTCCACTCCCTGGGATGAGGTTTGGTAACCTGTTACAAATGGGGCAAGACAGTTTTGAGCAGCATCTTGCAAGACTCTTGTATACCAAGGAATATTTGCTGTTTCTTACCTCCCAAGAGGCTGGAAACTTGGGCTGGAACCTCAGGGTGCCACTAAAGCAATCCACCAGCTTGGGAAAGCAGCTTTTCTCTCTGGAGGGCTCTGCTGACCACCCCTGGGCTGCTTCCCCAACACATCAGCATCACATGTAGCCCTCCACATCGCCTGGAGCTTCAGCAGCTAAGTGCACACCTTAGGAACATATTGCAGTGTAGTCATTTTAATAAGTGGCCTTAGGTATTAAGACATCATGTCATCCACTTCTGCCCACTGCTGTTGTTTCATTGGATGTTTGGCTTAGAGATTTATGTCAAACAGATAAAAGACAGCAAGAGCATGGACAGAAACAGAAGCAAGCTGGGAACAGCTACAGCTAAGTATTGGCTGGCTGTAGAAAAAACCTCTGAACCTGTCCTGGGCAGCTGCTTTCTTGTGGCTTGAGTGCTTGGTGTTAGCAGAGGTGATGAAGATAAATGGAAATGAGGGAAGACCTTTCTCTATACTGTTCAGAGGGTGCAGTTTCTTGCTATCATATGAAGCTGGAGTGCTAGCTGCTTTGCGGGAATTGTCGCCTGACATACTGAAATCTGCATCCAAGATCTATGGGGCATCTTCAGGATCAGTTGTAGCTACAGTTGCACTGTGTGAGTGTGATATAGGTAAGGGCTATGCTCTTTCATTTATTCTGTGTCTAAGAGATCAAATGTCTGGAAGTTTTGGTGTTGCAAAAGATCACTTTTTTAACAGTTATCCTTAATCAGAGATTGATTCCTCAGAATTTTACTTCGTTGACTTCTTTAACAGTGGAAAACACTGGTAAATTAACCAGCACAGAGAAAATAGGCTATATATAGTTATTAAATAAGTCATTGCATCTTATTAATTTGAATAATGGTAAGCATATCTTTCATAAGAAATGGAAGTGCCCTCCCTAAGAAGGCATTTGGGGTTGTTGGTAGATTCCCAAAACACAGAGGGGAAAGAAAATACTGAATATGGAGAAGATCAGCATTGCTGTTGCATGAAGTAAAGAGAGAGTTGTAGTCACAGAGCTGAGAAATACATTAGGGAGCAGATGCAGAGCCAACAGCAGGAAATGGTATGCAAAGGCTTCCTGTCAATTTTCTCCCACATCTCAAAGACTTTTAAAGATGTCTTATGGAGGAAATGGGAAAATAAATCAAAATACTTCTGCTTCCTGCAGTATTGAAGGTCCTTGGAAAAACTGGATACATGCATGAGAGCTTCAGCTCTAATGAAAATAATGGTTCTTTATGAGCGTTTACGAGGTGGAAGTGCAGCCTAGAAAGTACGTAAATAATAATATAAGGGATGTGGAATGATTGTTTTGCTTTGCTTTAGATGACATGAAGCTGTCCTTCTTCAATGCTCTGAAAACCTCTTTCTGGGGGCATCTTCCTGGAGGAAAAGTCCTTAGAATCTTAAAGAATGTATTAAACAAACACCTGCCTGAGAACGCCCATCAGCTGGTATCTGGAAAGCTGCACGTTATCCTCACCCGTCTGCATGACTGGAGAAGCGTGGTGGTTTCAGAGTTTGCCTCGAGGGAGGACCTCATTCAGGTGAGAGCAGCCACTGCCACCCTGTGAGGGAAGGAGCTGCGTGAGCTTTACTGCCTCTCCGTGCAGCCACGCAGCAGTCCGTGCCGTGATTTCTATCCTTGCTACCCTCTGAACCCAGACAGGGTCACAAGCTAAAAATAATAAAAAACCCAGCCCTTTTGGTTGCTGGCTGAGTTATCTACAGGGCCTGAGTATGCAGGGAGAAAAATGAGGCATTTCACAGATTACTACTACTCCAACGCTGGCCACGGATATCAGACACGGTCTGGTCCACAGTAGCGAGTGGTGCCCAATAAACCAGCTGTGGGTCCCCATTTTGGCATTTTCCTTTGCTGGAGATATTCAAAACCCACCTGGATGCAGTCATGTGCAACCTGCTCTAAGTGATCCTGCTCTAGCAGGGGGGTTGGACTCAATGATCTCCAGAGGTCCCTTCCAACCCCGACCAGTCTGGGATTCTGTGATTCACAGATGAGCCACCATTCCCAAAGGCAACAGGTTTTTGTGGTTCTCTGCTCACCTCCGTGCTTTACATCTCATCCACAGGCCTTGGTCTGCAGCTGCTTTATCCCTCTGTATTTTGGACTTTTACCTCCTATGTACTGTGGGGTGGTGAGTAACCTTGTGGTCTGGAAACCCTGTCCCAGGTCAGGTCAAGGGTCCATCTAGCCTTTGTCCTTTCTCCAGTGGTGGCACTAAACATGTTTATACCTGTGTTTGCCACCAAATTTGCTTGGTGCTGTGATCACACAGTGTCTGCAGAGGGAAGAACTGAACCTGGGTGCCCCACAATCTGACCTCACTGCAGACAGAACTGACCTTCTCACCAAAGCATCCACCCTCAGCCTGTCCATGGGGTTAGCTCAACTCCTTTCTGCTGCACTTTCCCCTGGTTTCATTAAAGAATAATTTTTTAGCTGGAAGGGAAGGGGTGGTGGGTGTAGACCTGGAGCAAATGGGGCTGTGGTCAGGGCTGTTCCCTGGAAGGGAACCTCTGTAGCCCCAGTACCTCAGTCTGGTTTGGGGCTGGATGGGGAAGAAACCCCAAATAAATGCACGTGTGACATAGCATTCTTCTCTCTGAAAAGAGGAAGACTCAGGGTTCCTTGTTTTCTCTCCTAGCGTTACATTGATGGGGAACTCAGCATGTGGCAGGCCAACTTCGTGTCCCGGACCACGATCACCGTGTCTGCTTTCGCTGGCGAATATGACATCTGTCCCAAAGATGGCCCTGCTGCCTTCTTCACTTTCCAACTCTCTGATTGTATTCTACAGATATCAAAAAGAAACATCCATCGCTTGCAGTATATTTTTCAGCTTCCCACACATCAAGTGAGCTGCTTCTACAGGTACCCAGAGCCATGAGGCCCCTATAGCTGGCCCATCTGCCCTGACTGCCACCTCCCCCCTGCAGGTTCTGGACCAGTTTTATACCCATGGCTACCAGGACACAGTCTCCTTCTTAAAAAGACTGAGTAAGTGATTGGGAGTAAGGAGCAGGTAGGTCAGGTGCTTCCTCCTACGATGTTGGTTTGCTGACAGAAGGTAAGAGATGCTGTGAGTGCGTCTAGAATGACCAGGGTAGAGAGATCCCTACAGCCTTGGAACTGCCAGGATTACTTGAGTCCCATCCTCTCTATGGCCTCTCCTGAAGCTCCCTGTTCACCCCTTCCCCTCTGATGGTGTTAGGTCCCTTCTTCTCTGCCACACTGGGCATGGTAGAGCTTTCCAGAGAATGCAGGTCCCCAGGACCTAGACGGTGGTGTTAGGCTGATAACACACTGATGCGCAAAGCGGCAATGTTTGGTGATCCCTGCCCCAGAAACCCAGATTAGCCATGGACTGTGGTCATCAGTCCCCCTGTTTTCCAGTCAACCCTGGTCATGCCTCACATTGCTGGAGACCTGGTAGCTGAGCAACAAGCAGAGAGAGCTGGATTCTCTTCCCACCAGGTGAATTTGGTATAAATTACCTTGATGAGGACTTTATGCTTCCATTGACCAATGAATCATGTCAGAAGGGTGAAGGGACCCTGCACTGGAAGCTAGAAACAAGAGTATTTCGGTTCAGAGCCACAGACCCTGAGGATGTCACCAAAGAGAATCCAGAGAGCAGCTGGGCAGCTGATGAAGTGGAAGAGGAAGCCTCACACCACCTTCTCCACCATCAGAAAGGTAGAGGCACTTCCTTTACTCCAACAGTTTTCATTAGCTAAGTGACACTTGCCCAGGGCTCTCACTATCAAAAGAGGCTGGCTGGGTTTTTGCAGTCTCGAATAGGTGAGAACATCAGGGACGGGAGAGAGTTCCCTCTTGGGTCAGTGGTTATGAGCGAAGCCTCACGCTGAACTTGTTTTGGGTGAGGTTTGAGGACTTAGGCTGTGGCTTCTCTTTGGAGAAACAGCTCTTTCTATGAAGAAAGCCATTTACTCACCTTGCAAGGTGGTAACAGGTTCTGCCCACACATCATTTCATTAAGGGTGAGGGAAGGAGCAGTGTCTTGCTGTTACAGCTGGGTTTGCTGAGCCCATCAAATCAAAATTTCTACTTAATTACTCTGGTGTGCAGCCATGTGTAAATACTTAAGTGCAAGAAAAGCTTATTAGAGCTGCAGGTAAACCTCTACCTGTATAGTTTTTAAGCAACATAAGGCAGGTTAAATCCAAACTTCTAGTTTTCTGCAATCCTATGCAAAATAATGTCCTCTCCAATTTCAGTTTTGACATGGAAAACCAGGGAACCTGCAGCATTTCAGATTCTAGTTTGTCTTATTGTTACTAGTGGAATACGAAGAAGTATGTGCTGCAGTGCAACATTTCTTTCAATTTTATTATTTATTTTCTTTTTCTTTCTGAGTCTTTCAACATTTCAGAATTTGTCAGCTTAGGAAAAATTACACCGCTTTTCCAACATGATGATGGTTTAAAATGTTGCCACATAAATAAATGGTGAAAAAAAGACCCGAACATTGTTCTGCTGTATCTACGAGGATACACCAAATGAGGAATATAAAGGGAAAGGAACAGGACTGTTACCATTCCAGATCTAAAAATAAAAGCTTGGAAAACATAAAATAAAAACAAAGAAAACATTTCCATTGAAAATAAAACAATGCTACCTATGGGAAGAGGCCCACTGTAGAAATGCAGGACACAAAGTTAGGCTGTACAGTTTGTTTTCATGCTTGTTTTTTTTAAAGGCTCGATCAGTCTGAACTATGTGGAGCTTTTGAAAGCAACATAGTAGGAACCAGGTTTCTTTGGAGATTGGGCAGGCTCTGGGCTATCAGGAGTCTCGTGGTCTCTGGTTTGCAGCTGGGCTGCAACATTTTTCACCAACCTAAGGTCACCTGTGGAAGGACTCAATACCCATTTGTTAGGCCAGAGAGCAACCAAGAGGTAAGTCAGGGCTCTCAGTCTCTAGGGGAGAAGTACGTCAGAATTTTCAGGTGTGGGAAGGAAAAGCCCTGATGATCTAGGCCAGGAAAAGGCTATTTTAATGTTTATCTGCACAATACTGTAATATGATTGGTTTTACCAAATAAGCAAGGGTATAAACCTGCACACAGCTTGCACCCATTTTCCCAAATAAGTCAGAGTATCTCCAAAGAACACACCAGCAAGGCTCAGGCTGGATTACCAGATTAACCACAAGCGTTTGCATTTTTATCCATGTGCCCACCAGGACAACTGAACAATGAGTTGCACCCTCCTTAATATCTAGACTAGAAGCAGAACCTGGCATAAAGCATCTGCAGCCAACAGGCCAGAGGCACAGGCAGGACTGGATACACTTGGTTTTGTTTGACTCGGTTGCGTGGCTCAGGCCCCAGGACTCCCCTTCTCACTAAATCTGCAGTGGGAGAGAAAGCTCTTGCTGACTTGGGTTGTCTCCAGACTCTCATCCCATCCACCTCAAGCTTCATGTCTCTGAGTTCGATGCAGACCAGGACAAGCAACAAGACAGTGGTATGGGGCCAGTATTTAAGGATATCAAAACCTGCTTATCCCATTACGCTGCAGAAAACAGCAGGGAGGGAAGCAGCCCTGGTCAGGTATTTGGATGCAGTTTGTCTCACAAGAACTGCCAGAAGTGTCTGTCAGATTGACCAATGTGGTTTTACTCCCTTTAGGATAATGCCAGCCACAGAAGAACATTTTTGACCCCGCTGTTCCCTTTGGCCTCAGTTCATCTTTTAAAGAGAGAAAGAGCCACTTGCAACCCAGGCTGCAGACAGGCACTGAGCTGCACTGAAGAGCACGCTGTGGCAGCAATGTCACCAGCACAGGCAGGGCCACAGCACTCCCTCTATCCCCCCAAAGACCCTAGGTGGTTCCTGTGACCCACCTTTAAAGCAGGCATTTCAGCTGAAGACAGTTTCTGTTGCAGCTGGTCTGAACTGGGTGCAGCCAGGTTTCCCAGCTTGCTTCCCTAGAGGTGAAACAAGCTCAAAGGGGTAATTCAAAGAGATGCCAAATTTTGCCTCTGGCAAAGCCTCCTTTTGCCATTAGCTCCCAGCTCATGCAGAGGAGACAGCATCACATGTGCTTGCTTGAAAAGGTGGGGAATTAATAGAGCAAAAGACAGCTGATTTGAATGATGAGTCATTAAATACTTCTATCTTGCACATCTCTGCAGGTTTGGAGCAGGAGGGCTCTATGCTGTGACAGTTTTGGTTTGGGTGTTCTTGTAGGCTGTTTTTTTCTAAAGTTCTCAAAGTTTTACTAACTTTTTATGATCAAGCACTATGCCATGTAGTGCTCCTGTTTGTGGCTGAGATTTGCAGACAAATTTAGTGGATTTGGATGTCCAATTCCTATATGAGAATTTTCTTTTGGGGATTTTAATTGCCATTTGAATAAGGATAGTGAAACTGCCTGAGACTGACTCAAATGGCTCTATCCTGCCTGGAGGTGGTGGTGCTTGCTAGGAGGACCAGGACCCTGGTAGAAGAGCTGTTGCAGAGCCTGGGAGGGAAAGCAGAAGTGCACTATGAGCAAAAGCAAATGACGAGTGGACTGTCCCCGCTCCTGCCCAGGGAGCGGTGGGTGTCTCTGTGCCCTCTCTACTTTGATCTGTGGCAGGAACATAGTCACAGTTCACGAGCAGGTTTTGAGCAGCCCAGCTTTGGCTGCAGGGGTTGAGATGTAAATCCATCCAGGATGGAAGGAAGACAGGAGGAAGTTTTGATGGATCCGATGCAAATAAGCATCCAGGTTTCTTTTAGGTAGCTCATTGCAGAGAAAATATTTCCAGGTCATTGATTTCAACCAGAGATAGAACATAAATATTTGTCTTTCACTGAGCATTCATAGTTAACTTTGAATCTGTTTACATCACTGCAGCCTTCAGCTGTTCCTCACATTCATGCCTGCAATCTCCAGGGCACTTGGGATGTAACTTCCCACTGTATCATTTCCCTTTGTGCAATTAAACAAGCTGTTTATTCAAATAAACAGCCTGTGCCGTTGTGATCTGTTTGTTGCCCATTGGGAACCAACAAACAGGGGAGACTCAGTTGGGGTAGAGCCAATCCATCAGCCTCTGATGTGCAAAATGTATTTGGGATGATTAAGAGCGCTGCCAATTCTACATACAGACCAGCAACGTGAGGTGTGTTTGCCCGGACCGTACACTGTTTGTAGCAGCGAGTTACAGAAAATTGCATGAAAAGAACTAATATATTTGTGAAATGTCAGCTCTCTCAGTGCAATAGGAGATGCAGTCTGCAAGACTGTGGTTCTTTGAAGTAGGAGGAGGTTAATCTTTAAGTTTTTCTATCCTTCTCCACAGCTGCAAATTCTGAGGGTTCCAAATGTGTGCCTACCTCCATGGGCAGGAGAAGCAAGCCTCCGAGGGTGTATGAAGCTGAAGAATAGGTAATTGGTAAAATAACTTCAGGAAACTGGATAAAATCAGTTCCTGCCCAGCGTGATGCTCCCTAAGGCTTTTCCCTCTCCCTGTTTTCTGTTTGATGAATCTCTCTGAAAGTTTTTGAGTGGGAGGCAAACACTCAAAATGTGACATTTCCTGGCAAATGCCTGCCCTTTAATCTGCATTAAATCAGGGGGAGGGATGCTGCTGGTGATCAGCAAGTGCAGTGGCTGGGGAAACTGGCGGCTGGGCTGTACATGCATGCGAGTAAACATGGTCCATCTCCCCTGTGCATATTCGGCCATCATGTTAAAGCAGGTCAGGCCTGGGCAGGGAGGCTGAGGCAGCAGCACTGGAAACAAAATCAGCCGGTTTCCCCAAGTGAAAAAAAAACCAAAAAAACCAAAAAAACACTCCCAAAAAACTCCATAAAATACCAGCAGCCATGCCGCTGTGTGAATTGAGCTACGGTGACACCCACCACTTCCTGGGGCAGCAGAACCGTGTGGCATCAGAGACCCCCAGGGCACATCCAGGATGGTTACCTAAGGGAACAAGCTGGCAGTTAGTTGAGTCAGGGTGATGAACAGGGACAAGTAGCCCCAGGGACGTTTGATGATACTGATGGGCTTTTTCATGGCTCGGGGGTTGTGTAGCTGCCTGCAGTATGACATCATTCTGTGCGAGTCTCTTCGCCAGCTGCACACGAAATAACTTGCAAGCAGGTTTTAGGGAGGTATGGCTTAAAAACTATCTGTGTGACAAGTTAAATGCCTTGAATCCTTGAGAGTTTAGTGCCAAAACACCTCTCAGGATCTTGGTGAACATGCCTGATGTCCTGCTGGGACAGAGCCCAGCACGTAAGTGCTCTGGAAGAAGAGTATGTTGCCATAGAGAAGTGGCACTAACCTAGTTCATAGCTTCTTTCAGGTGTCACTAAATAAATAATATAATGGGGACAAAAATTAGCTACTCTTAATGTGAGGTATCCCAGATTTGGAATTTTTAGCCGTGGTCAGCGTCAGTGAGGTCCCCCGGGGTTTCCCTGCTCTGCACCCTGCCCTCCCTCTGCCGAGGGTTTGCATCCCCTGAGCACCTCACCTGCTCACCACAGCTCTCTTAGGCAAACCAGGCACCATGGTTTGGAGGAGCTTCTGGAACCATTTTGTCACGGTGCTCATACCTTCCAGCAGCCCCCACAGCTTCTTCAGCCTGCAAAACCAAAATAAACAGGCAGATTTTAATGACCGGTAAATGCAACAATAGGCAGAAGGTGCTAATGGTAAATGCACACTGTAATACTCTTTTCCATAACCAGTAGATGTGCATCAGCTTGCCCTAGTCCATGGAAAAGGAGAGACTTGCCACTAGCCCGCACTGCCCAGTGTGTTCCCTGTGGAGCTGCCGTTGGAAGGATGCGACAGCCCATTGCACACCCCACACTGGGCTTGAAGGGATGCCTGCATGCCTTGCGCTAATCTTGCACCGTGTCCCTTCAGCTGTCTTGCCACTGCTGAAGGCACAGCCCCTGGTTTCTGTATCACTCTCAGCTTCGATGCCTCTGTTGAGATGTTCTTACCCCTTTCTGACAAAAGCTGGCAGCCTGTACGGCTGCAACAGGACCTTTGACAGTGGATCCTGCAGTCCAGTCATCTGCTCCTTCCTCCAGAGAGCCAAGCCTGTGCCCATGAATGACAACACAGAAGTAAATAAAGACTAGTAACCAGAAATAACCCAATAAATGCAATAATTCCTCTTGTCCAGCAACTTTTGCTGCAGCTCAGCCTGTAGGTACTGAAGCCCAGGCCAGAATCCAGCTTGAGCCGCTCTTACAAAGCCTCTTTGTGAATGGCTACTGCAGAGCTAGAAATATTTGCTATAATAACTAACTCAATAATGCCTTAAATATAATACTGCAATATAATACTTAAATATAAGACTGCAGCAGCCACCCCCAAAACCCAAGATCAGTCCCCCAATCCTCTACCTGGCAGGAAGCAAGGAGCCAGACCCTGTGGTACTCTTTTGAATAGGCCGGTGAATGTCCTCTTGGGTTGTGCAAAGTCGTTCTTCCCGCACATGCTGGCGAAGCGGAAATTGCCGTCGAAGTAGTTAAAGCCAAAAGCATCTGTGAGGCACAAAAAGAAAGGGCTGATATTGGGCCCATTGCATTGGCCATGCAATGCCGATGGGCAGTGGGTCACACTGCTGGGCTGCCCTTCAGGTCTTGGGGTAACACTTACTGTTCCTGTACAAGAAAAGGGCAGTGTCCTGGTACCCTTGGGAGAAAATGTCATTCAAGACCTGCAAGGAGAAATGCTTGAGGTCACTAAAGAGCTCTCCATCCAGGCACCAACAAGATCTGTCCAAGGCTGTTTGACTGTGGAGGGTTGGGATGGCCCATTTGGGAAGGCAGCAAGCACAGTCTGTTTTCCAACCACCCTTTGGTGGTCCTTTGCAGGTTGTCAAACCAGGGTGGACGCCATCCCCAGCTGTCCACCCATCAGCAGTGTCCACCAAAAAAATGCACTGCCCTTGAAATCTGATTCATTAACGATGGAGATTGAGCTGAACCTTAAAGCTTGGGATGGCAGGTCCAGCATTAATTTGTTTTAACCAAAACAAAGCTGGGAAGAAGACCTGGTGGGCTTACCAAGGTGCTAGGTGGAAAGAGAGCATAACTAATCCTGCAGAGGTTTTCTATTGAGATCTGGATGCTGCCATTGAAGATCTGGAAACAGAAGAAGATAGCAGGACAATCCCGTGGACAGATATCGAGCTCTCCAGTGAATGGGGACACAGTGATCACGGCTTCCTCCAAGCTGGAAACGGGCTGCAGGCCAGTGAATCCTCCATCAATGTATCGCTGAGAGGGAAGAGCAGAGGGAGGGTTTGCTTTGAGAATTGCTACGGCGTGCAAGGGCAGGGTCACCAAGAGGAAAGCAAGCAGCTGCAAAGGCAGTACCTCCTGCCTTGAGCCAGTCCCAGATAGTCCTCCCTTCCCACTTTCTCTTTATCCTTTGCCAGCTCCTTCTGCTGCCCTGCCCGTGGCACCCAGCCAGCTCCTCAACCATGTTCTGTAATCCACAGCAGTTATTAAAATAGAATTATTTTAATTCACAAAGCTTTGTAAAATTGTTTTGGCAGTCCTTAGCCAAACATCACTGAATTTACAGAGTCGTATGGATTTCAAGTCCTGAGCTCAAGCAGTAGGGCTCCTGCATTTAATAATTGCCTGCAAATCCCTGGAGGATTACTCACTGGGCAAGGAAAATGTTGTTCACTGTATTCCAAAAGGAATCTGAATTTACCACCCACCTTAGTGGGATTTGAGGTTGCAAGAACTGCAGCTCATCAAATTAAATGCTCGTGAAATAACAGTGCAGAGGAGCCTCATGCAGCAACGGCGCCAAGCTCTGCGTCCTGCAAACTTTGTGGGCAAGCCCTGCAGTCCTGGGTAAGCTGGAGATCTGACCTGACAGCCAGGTGCAGACATCTGAGGACTAAATAGGCTCAATCAGTGCAGACCAACAAGAGTCAAGGCAGGATCCTAGCTCTGTTCCAGCTGCAAATCTGGTATCGTGGCTTTGTGAGCTTTGACACACAAGCAGGTCATGATGCATGAGCTCTGTGGTCCGTCTGCCCATGCTTCACCACCACACTGCCCTGCTCCTCCTTCACTGAGGGTTAGCAACAAGCCAGCCCAAATTTCTTGACTTCACTGCAGTGTTTCACAGAGTATGAATATGCACACGGTTGGGGGAGGATCCTCCCACAAACTTGATGTTTCAGCCATGCAAGTCTGCACCTGAGCTCATGGAGACATCTGCACTGCAGACAGATACTGCCCAGGATAACTGGATTGTGTGTCAAAGTCCCGAGTGTGGGCGTCCTCTCATCTTACTTTGGAGATCTGCAAGGCAAGATCTAGTCATCCAGGCTCTGTCCATAGGAGAGGGCTCTCCAGATGGCAATTCCACCCAGCTATCATCTTAGGATGTGATGAAGAACAAGCTAAAAGGCTTTATCATCCTCCATTAACTAAAGAAGAGCCTAACATATATATCACTCTCTACTCAAGGGAATGTGAATTTCAAACCCAAGAACATACTGCTGGGAGCATATGTTTTATTGGAAATAACACTCACCACACCTCGGTAGGATGGAGGGATGAATCCACAGTAGATAGGAAGAAAGCAGCTGCAGAGCAGAGCCTGGGGGAGGAGATGGATTGCAGAAGTAAATGTTCCTGTCAAAGTTCTCCTGGACAAAAGCTGTTGACTGGGTGCCTGTGAATTCAGGCTTGACAAATTGTATGGAGCCAGGATGTCGGTACCACCTGGACTTTGCACTTGACTGTGTCGAGAAGAAAGGTTTCAAGAAGGGCAAAACATCTCATTTCATTAAAGTTGAAACACTTCTCTTGAGAAGGACATAGCACTTCATTTTTTATTTTTATAGCTGCCAGCAATATAAGTGTTGTATATCTATATATCACTGTCCAAACATTGCCCTTTGATGGTGGCAAGGTGAAGCTTTGGGGTCATTTTTTGTATTTGCAGGTTTTTGGACAAAACCAAGACATCCTCGCAATGCATTTTCATTCTGTTGAGATTTATCAATGGTAAAGCCATTGCTGAATTGCTTGCAACTATTTTCCACCAATCTCATCAGCTGGGAATGAGCATCCTGGGCTCCTGGGTTGACCTGGGGCAGGCACCGCGGGGTGAACTCCTACATCTCCATGGACTTGCCATCCTCTACTGTCTCCCTGCGACAAGCAAACCCACAACCTGATGGTCAGCTTTGTTAGGGTTTTACCCTGCGATTCTTTCCCCAGCAGCTAATTTACTGGTTAATCAGCTGCTTGTTGTTTGGCAGCACAGACGCTTTGTCCAGCTCCCAGGAAAGTGCTGAGGCAACGAGGAAAATTACTGCCAATGGGACTTGGCCGAGGAGAGACCTGTCCAGAAAGCTGAGGTCATGTTAGCATTAACACAGCTCTTTGCAAAGAGTCATTAGCACTTATTAGAGCTGGCCAACATGCCAGCATCAGCTTTTTGAGGCTGAAAACAAAACCTCTGCTTTTTTAGCATGATTTATTCCCAGCTGGCTCTGGACCTAACAACATCTTCCTGCTTCCATCCAAGCCTGATGGAGCTCACTGTGGTGGGACCACAACTCTGGCAGGGCTTCCTGACACTGTCCCCATCTTGGGTAGAAAACAGTGCTGTTGAAGTGATCAACACTTAGGTACCTCCACCCCAAGCAGTAGGCAGAGATCTTCCTACGGCATCAGAGGAAGGTGCCTTTACCTGGATGAGCTCCTCCTTTGAGTTGAACTCAGAGGCCATGACGTTCTGGCCATCCATCACCCGTGTCAGCGAGATGTGCAGCCGCCCTGAAGCCAGCTGGTAGGAGTCCTCTGGTAGCATCCGCTGCAAAACAGTCTTGATATTGGCCAGCAAGCTGCACTTGGGAGAGAGAGGGCCCAGGATGGTTTTCCTGACTTCTTTTGCCATGGCAAAGAAAAATTCCTTTAGGTCATCTGACAGAGCAGTGAGGAGGAAAGATAGAAAGTCAATATCCTTGCTTCCCTAACCATTATATTTTTAATCCTATTTTAACACTCCTCACAAATAAAGCGTCTTGCAGCCCCTGTGCATGACCCCAGGATGATACTGCTGCTACAATGGGGGACATTGTGGCAGGACAGAAAGGGGGAGATCACCCCCATGATGTCCTCAAAGGACAACGTATTGCTGAGCGCAACCCCACTAGTAAAATCGTCGTCTGCACCGGAGATGGGTGCTGAAGAAGTGCCTGGCCAGGGATTCGGGAAAGGCTCCAAAGAGCCCCAGGAAGGGGATGCAGGTGCAGACACGGAGTTGTCGGTGCCAATGTGACTTGCACAACACGTTCCTGCCTTCCACCTCCGATTTTGCACATGGGCAGCCCCAGGCTTCATGGAGGGGCTGGGACTGCTTAGGGCTTTCCTGCAAGCCAGGCACCCTGGCTCCATTGTGCTGGGACTCCCGGTTCATCTGGGCTCCCCTGGTGACCTCCCAGCCGGTGTTAATAGTCATTACATGCATCTGCACGTCTCAGAAGCTGGATCAAAGGAGCCGAGCTGCAGAGCCCCGGCCAAGGGCTCATGAGACACCGGATTTTAAAGGTTGCGCGGTGATGGGGGAGAAAAGGGATGCAGCAAACCCCACGGTTACCCTGATCTCAGGGAGGGAGCTTGGTCCCTTTGCTGAAATGAGCTCGCTTGGGAGAATAATGCGCCTTGGGAGGTTAAACTCTTGTAGCAAAAAGCTTGTCCTGCTCCCCAATGCTGCAAAGAGCTGTCCTCATGCCCAGGTGGGCTCCCAGCGACCCTACAGCAGCACGAAGCCACAGGCTTGCATTAGCACCATGGTCTTTTAGGGAAAAAGGTTTTGGGGCTGTCCCGTGAGATTGCTTTAAATGCACGGACACACAGATGGATTAGATGGAGTGTCTCAAAGGCAAATGGAGCAACACAGGTATTAAGAGGGGTTATAAATGTTTGAGCGGATATTCAGGCCATGTGGCGTGATGATTAGTGCTTGGCGGGTTCACGCAGGGTCCTTGAGGATGCCAAAAGAGATGGAGACACCCCAGGCAGGTGATGCACCCGCGGGCAGCTGTCAGGTTGCTGTGTGTCCTGGAAGTGGGGGAAAACTGGGAAAACTGCCCACGAGCTTCTGGGTAGAAGGGAGAGCTGACCCCAGCTTTGGGGCTTTGGCTCTGGACGGGGCTTTGACTCTGGGCAAGCAAGGGATGACCCTGGCATGCAATGCTGTGGCTGTCCCTGCCTGCACCAGCGTGGTGGTGACAAGCCTATGCCCAGGAGGTGACCTGTGGGGTAGCAGAGGACAGCCTGGCTCAGAGAGCCAGGTCAGGGCAGGGGCTGGGTACACGACTGCAGCCACCCCATGGGACACCCCACCAGGAGCCAAACACACTTTTATCCCTCTTTTTGCCCCAGTCCTCCCTAATGGGAGTTTGACAGAGTTTGTACCACATTCATTTTCCTTATTAGAAATCCAACCAGAATCATTACTGCCCAAAAGGTCTTTTCTTCCCCCGGGGAAGATGTTTTGGGCGCAAGATCATCTCAGCACCTCTAAGTGGATGGTGCCTAAGCACCCCTGGTGAAGCAGACCCACATTTCAGTGCTGATGCCCACAGCAAGAACAGTTACCAAACTGATTTATATCTGCTGGACAGCCCCAGCTCCATCCAGCATGAGGAATCAGAGAGGAAAGTTTTGGGGCCCTTGCTGATTTGTAGAGGAGTTCATCCCCATGTGGGCAGAAAGATTCCATTCTGCTTTGTCTAAACATATTTGCCAAAGTTTTGAATTATTTTTAGCTCCAGCAGAGTGGCTCTAGCATCCACCAGAGGTTTGGACCCTAAAACCCCCGCTCCTCCTAAATGTCCCCAGTGCTTGAAGTGGGGTTGGATCAGCCTTCAAAGACTTAAGTCTTGTGTACACTTGTTTACACATGGACACTAATTGGAAATATGGGAGGATGTGATTATTAAAAGTGGATTAACTGCTCTGAATTAATTCTACACATAGATGATCTTATTGCTAGTGGGGCCCATTTCCACATTGTCTAAAGAGGTTCAGAGGTGTTCCGCTACCTGGAAATGGGAATCGCATCACATCTTCCCTTATGCTGGGAAAGTTGAGTGGGATAACCCAAAGCAACATGCAGACAGGGCTGTCAGTGCTATAGATACCTATGTGACTGCCACTCATGTCCCTTGGTAGCTACAGATGCCAAGGGACCGGATCCATAGGGGACAAGGGGGTTTACTTGGGCATATCCGCCCACCATGGCCGCATTGACTTGCTTTGGGATGCATCTCAGCATCAGACCTTGTAGCAGAAGAGAAGGAGATCTGCTCCTTCAGCGGGAGCAGGGAAATGAGCCAATAAAATACAGGTACGCCCAGATTTACCCATGCAGTATCTACCTTACCATCTGAGATGATAACATTCAGACAGCTATAACCAGCTTTTTCAGCTTACACTATCCAAAATTGTTCCCGGGTGGCTGCCGAAAGTGGCAACATCTGCAGATTTCTTCTGTGCCTTGTGAGTGATACGAGTTACACCAGTATCACATCCCCACTGGTGCTTTAAGGCATCAGCTCCTCTATTTCTATTTTGAAATTAAAAAAAAAAAAATCTGTGGTAAGGAAATCTAGACAATAATTGTCTTACCAAGGCTGATGCCACACACCACGGCAGCGGCGATGATCGAACCAGCAGATGACCCGTAGACCTTACATGCAGACTTGAGGAGTTCAGGAGCCAGCTCCAGGAGGGACTGCACTACCCCAACCTGGTACAGGGCGAGAAAGCCACTGCCCGAAAAGGAGAGTGAGAAAGGGGTGCTCGAACCCCGGAGATCCTCCTCAGCCATCTCGAGATCAAATGGGCGTATCTGGCACGGTGTCTCAGGTTGTCCTTTTTCACCAAGTGAACCTCAAGCTCTTGTCTCCTCTGCTTTCTCCAGGCTCATCTCTGGCTGCAGTGGAGTCCAGAAGATGGATTTTCTGCCTTCTTTTATGACAGCTCCCCGAGGTGTTTAGATTCACAAGCTATTTTAATTGCTGCCCATGCTAAAAACAGATTTTTTCCCCTGATCAAAACAGCTCTTGTAATCCTCAACCACAGCCAGCTCAGATGCTCAGGGCTGAATCAAGGCTCCTCTTTTATACCAAGCGAAGTGCCCCGGAAGCCCTCACAGTGATGGTCCCTGCTTTACCATGCCGTCACTCTTGGAAACGTCCATGCAAAATTTCCTCTTTGCTTCATGCTTTCTTCATCAAGGGTGTTTTCCTAAATAGGATTCTCCGTCAATCCTGTCTTAGGAACAGCTCAGTACTGAGTGAGTAAAGCCTTGTATAAGACACTTAAAGCCAGAGGGTGTTACACAAGGGGTGGATGCAGTGCATTACACTGAGTTAGATTTGGAAATACTGCTTATATTTGCTCCCTACTGGAAGGGGTTTGTCCTTGCCTGATTCTTGGATATCCTTTGGAAGGAAAAAACAAGGAGCCGGATTCGCTTTTCACTTCCCTTCCAGCACTGTGCTTTATAAGGCCCCAGAAGGTTGCCTGTACCGGCACTGTGTTCCCCAAATCTGGGGTTACTGAACCAAAATCAAACTGCCCTCCAGCTGTCTTCATTGGCTGGGTGATAGTTAAAAAAATTGGGAGAAATTCAGTACATTTCTTGTGTCTTTTCAGCCTTAATAACCTAATGCTGCTGCCAAGATACTGAATAAATGTCACTTTAAACAGATGTATTTATTAAATATTACTAAATACTGTGTCACTTATGTTGTCCAAATACATATTTGGACATATTTGTCCATGTCGGAAGGTCATGAGTGTTTGCACACTGGAAGAAATTGCTTGTGTTCTCTGTGCATTAACTCTGCCAATTATGTGTGTCAGGCCCCCAGGGAATTCAACAGGCACTACATGGAAGAGGCGTAGCATGCTCCTGCTTTGCTCAGCACTTCCACCTCTTCGGTCGAGCCCAGCCCCAGCTGCCAAACTTCAGGAAAGGTGTAAACAATCCCATGGGACCTGCGGGAACATGCTCCTCCACCGGGTGCATGGCACGAGGACGGTTTCCCCAATAGGAGCTTGAGTTGCTACAAAATGGGGAGCTCCAGGAGCACCTTGTGACTGCGAACACTGCTGAGCTGGGAAATGTTCCCTGCCCCCAGGCTCTCTTTTGGGCATGTTGTAATAGTTTCTTCCCTTGCAGCTGCCACAAAGTAACATATTAAATGGAATTTTCCGTTCCCAGAGCCAGATGATGAAGGACCGTGCAGTTGCCATGAAGAAGCTGTTATCTCTGCAAGAAGACAAGTGAGTAGCTCCCCGGGGAGGTGCACAGTGAATGCAAGAAGGTCCCTAAGAAGGAGAAAGCCCGGCAGAGGGCACAGCCCCACGCCGAGGCAGGGCCAGCCCCAGGAGAGGGGCAGGGGAAGCAAGGCAGGACGGACAAGAGGACGAGCGTCCATGCGCAGGGAAGGACAGGAGACATCTGACCCGGCAAGGGGAGGGCAGCATCCTAAAAGCCAGCGGCTCAGACCTGCGAGGACTTCACAGCATGCTCAGAGTACCCCCTGGAGTCCCCTTGGGATCCTCAAGCCCAGGAAGAGCTGGGCTTTGGGGACACTCCTGGGGGGTCTGCTGGCCAAGGGGGTGCACAACCACATCACAGCATTTCCCACCAATTCCCTGCCCTGCAATGAGTTACAGGGGGCTTCTCAAGGCAGGGGGGGCATGCAAAACCTGCCCTGCACCCTGTCCCACGGCAAACACCGAGGCCTCGGGACAGCATCCCTGGGGACAGCATCCTCCCTGGCCCAGCGCCATGCTCCCGTGAGATGAAACCTTGTCATCATCCTCTTAGTGACAGCGAATTTTGCATTAATTGGCTCATTAAGTGCCAGGCTGATTTTCTAAGCTGCCCTCCCCCACCTGGCGCTCGACAAAGCAGGATTAGCAGGGGACTAATGGCTTTGGAGACGCAGGATCCCAGAAGCAGCCTGAGATGCTGTCAGGAGAAGGCTCCCCGGCTCGCATTGAGCTCCAGGTGGGCAGGGGCCTGTGGGGGGCACGGGGCTGCTTTCTGCCCGGGCAGGTCAGTGCCCAGATGGTTGGTGTCCACGATCCCAGGGATTTTTGGATGAGGAGATTGCTTGAAGCCACGGCAGAGCGTTTAGGGAAGGATGAAGTTAATACCAAGAGTTGGAACCTGATCAAAACCCTTAGGCTAATAGCTTGCCCTTCTTTAATACCTTCTTAATGTCTTCAGTGGCCACAGGCAATCAGGGTCTCAATTTTATAACTAAGAGTTTAAGTCAAGATGTCAGAGTCGCTCACGAGAAGGGACCTGGACTCCAAGAGCCACCAGCCCTGGGGTGCTGCACTAAAGGCAGCTGTGGCTGCTCCCAACCTCATCCCACCACGCCGGGCTGGAGCAGCATCCTGCTTTGGGTTGGGTTATTTGGGACCAGGAGCCCCTCGTGCAAGGGGCTGTGCAGGTTTTGCTCCTTGTTTCTCTGGCACCGCTGCCCCGATGAGTGGGAAAAGGTCCAGCAACCCCAGAAGGAGGATATTTGGTTCAGCCGTCATGTCAGGAAATGTACAGGAGGGGGGAATAGGAGACATGAGTTGTTTTTCTCACAGGTGTTTTGCCTGGCAGGTGCGTCCCACATGCCCAGGGAAGATGATGTCCTCCAGGAAGTCAGCAAGGAGACAAAACCCTTTTCTGCTCCATGCAAATCCCAACCCACACCTGGCACTGCATGAGCTCAGATGTAAAACAAATAGGGGCATTGCGTGATCCTCCCACCAGGTCCCCACCATGTCCGCAACCCCAGCTCACCCTGCTCTGGTCACAGCCCCAGCACGGTCCCCTGGGCAGGGGACAGGAACATCATGACAGTCACAAACAGGTGAGAGCAGTTCAGTTTCTCCTGCAGTAAAAGTCTCCCAGCTTGGTTCCCGGCCAAGAGGAAACATGATGCTGGCACCGTGCTTGTTGCTGGCATCACCAGGCAGGATCTAGGAGGGGGATTTGGTATTTTTCACAGTCCTAGTTACCCTGGGCTAAATTAGACCGAGCCCCTGCATTTCATCCCCCATCCTTGGGGCTCTTTGGCAGCCAGTGATTCAACACTCTGCATCTCTAGCAAACATTTCCTTAAAGGCTTCACAAATGGGATGATTGTGTGCCGAAGCGCTGCTTCCTTCCTACAAGGGGTCCTCTTCCCCACTTTGTTTTACTTTGGGTTTTAAAAGGACTGAAAAGATCAGATCCTGGAGGTCCTGAGCAGACACGGGCTGTCACCGGTGGGCCCTGAGGGGCTGTCACCCCACCGTGGCACTGACCCAGACCCACAGGTTTGTTTGCCACCATCATTACCTTCAATCCTCCAGATCATTCCACCTCTTGCATGCTGTAAGCCCCAAAATTTTGTCCCCTTCACCCCAGACTAGGTCCAGCCCTGGCAAGGGAGATGGTCCTGCTGGTGCTACCACACTGAGCACTGGCAATCCCCCCTGGCCCCAAGCTGCCTTAATCTACAGCCCTACTTAGGGGTCTGGGCAAAGATTGGCTGGGAACATTCCCAGGGATTAGGGTTTAATCGCTTTGACATTTCACAGCTTCTTAGGCCTCCTAGGTGAGACCCCAGCAGCCGTAAATCCCCTCTGTCCTCGAGGGAGCGACAGCAAGGGCAGCTCCTGCACCGCTCGGGAACAAGCTTTACCCAGTTCTTGGTGTCAGATCAAGCTGCTTTGGCTAATAAATCTCCTTCTGCTGGAAAGGAAGGCTATAAATAGTAAAAAAATAGCAGGACCGCACTGTGTAGCTGCTGTAAGACTCCCTTTGTGCCATTTTGCATCTGGCTTGAAAGGGGCAGCCCACAACAGCTGTAGCAAAGCAAATCCATGTGTAACGGCCATACGCATCACCCATTAGACAAGTCTGGCCTATTTATTTGAGTTTTAATTTTTTTTTCCTGAACTGGATGCTTGGCCGACAGCAGAAGCTACAAAAATTATGTTGTACATTTACAGATATGTATAGAAAAGCAGGTAAATAAATACACATACACAAACACAAAGAAACCATGAGGTTCAACATATGCACTTGGTGGGAGCTAAAACACAAATACAGAGCAATCTCCAAAATTTAGGCTTTGTTTGATTTAGACTCTTTGTCCCCAGCCAGGTGGGTTTTGAGCATTTCATGTTGCTCTGGCTATTGCTGTAGTTTTCCTTAGAAGATTTTAAATCCACAGCTCAGAAAATCACCCTACATCCAGGTCACCAACAGGGACTGTCCCCCCCATCAGTAAATCCGCATCCTTGGGTTCCTGAGCACCACAGGCCCTTTGGAGAAGCCGATGTCAGTCTGGGCTCTCACAGATGTCTGTGCTGAACTTTTCTTTGTTCTGCTGAGACAAGAAAACATTTGTGAGCCCCCTTCCCAAACTGAGCTGGTGCTATTGGTTTTCTAGATGGCTTCAGGAGGAAGTTCTCCCTGAGGAAAGCTGTGGTTACACCAGGTTGCAGCAATGACGTGCACTACGGGGTGTCTCCCAGCTGCAGAGATGCAGCGGGCAGGGAGCAAAGCAAGTCCTTCTTGCGCAGGCCACGCTTACGTTGGAGAAAGACAAAGGCAGCTCCAACAGCACGGGGCAAGATCCAGCACCCAGTCGTGCCCCCCCAGCACAAGCCAGCATGACTGCTACCCAGGTCTGTCGATCACCCTAAAATTACACCGGTTGCCCTAATTGCTGCTGGAAGCTCAGCCCCAGACTCAGTCCTCCTCCTCACCTGCAGAATTTTGCTGTAGGACAAGGGTGCAAATGAATCTTCCAGGTAGCGGGTGCCGAAGCCCATGATCCTGTTCACTGCCTGGTTGCAGATGCCCGCCACCTTAGCCGTGAGGTGCACCGTGAAGGCAAACTGGATCTCTTGGGGGTTGATGTCGGGTCTGCTGGCCGTCATTTCCTTGTGGACATAGGCATCAGCCAAGTTCTTGAAGGAGCTGTAGGACATGTCTTTGAAGAACATCCGTAGCCGTGCGTCTTCTTTCACCTGGTTAAGAAGCAAGTGAATACACACATTATGAGTGAATAACTCTGTGTGTTGTTGCGTTGATGCTTTCACTCCACACTGGGATTGTGGTTGAGGGAGGTCAGCCAGCCAGCCATGATCACACCCAGTCGGGGAATTCAAAGGTGCCATTTCCTTGATTTTACTGAGCATTTCCTCGCACTGGGGAAATCGATGGAGTTGCTGTATTTTACAGCAGTACAGAGCTTAGCCCAAATTCCCTCGACCCCACCGCCACTCTCCTCTCACCTGCCTGTCCAGCTCATCTCCTGCACTCTGGAGAAGGGCGACAATTCTCCTGATGGCTTCGTCTGCAGAGAGAGATCCCACGTTATCCCCAGCCCTTTCTGCAAGCCCCACACCCAGATGCTCCAAGGGGGCGGTGTTGCCTGTTTAGCCCCCCCTGAAAAATTCCCTGAGCAACGTGCATCCACCTCCATCCCTCTAAAACCCATTTCAGCTGATTGCCAAGTGCATTGGTATCCTCAGCCAGCAAAAACCCCCTCCTGCCTTTGAATTTCTCTCTCCCCAGATCAAGCCCTGATGATAAAAATCTCCCCCAAAGTTTTCACGTGACTGTTCAAGTCACATGAGCCCCTGAGAGTCAGGATTGAAGCAGAGTACAGGTCCCATGCAGGCTCCGCATGGAGACAAGTATCATGCACGTGTGTTTTCTATATGTGCCAGCAGCAAAGTGCTCGCAATGGCAACACTCACCAACCCCATCAGCACTGGTCGGCTGTGACGGCTCCCTGCAGCCACACGCTCTGCTCCCCTGGCTCTCGCTGCCCTGCACAATCAGCCCAATCTCTTCCGAGACTTGTGCATAGTAACCATGCTCCACATCTGCTGGAAGAAAAACATATAACCAAAAATTAGGATTTTTTTTTTCTTGGCCATTCAGTGAAAAGAAAAGCAGCTGCAGTAGTGACTGCATCCACGTGATGCTTGTGCCCACCCTGTGTTAGTGCGTACCGCTGGTGAACGATGGGGCTGCGCTCTCTCAACTATAACCAAGTGGCTGTGACTTGCCCCAAATCCACTGAAGCTTCACAGAAATCCCCTTGCTGGCTTTTTGCCAGAGGGAGGGCTGGGGCAGGGATGGAGGTGTCCCGCAGGCTCTGCTGCCGTGCTACCCGCACCCTTCCCTGCAGCAAATCAAAAGCAGCTTAACATTGGCCCTAGAGTGGCTTAAGATTTAATCTCAGGTCTTGAATGCAGATTTAAATGAAACCACCATATCCATCCTTTGCTAGAGGGGGAAAACCTGTGCCTGGATGGTGCTTGGGGTAACTTGCTGTCCTCACGAGTCAGAGCAATGACGTGTGCTCAGAGAACGGGCAGACTGACCCTTTTCTAGGGCAGCAGGTTGAGATCAGAGTCCCCCAAAACCTATCCCAGACCCCAGAAAGCAACAGGAGGGTGATACTTAGGGTTAGGAACCAGCACTAAGCACTCTTGCTTTCCCAAATGATGCCCGATGGAGGTCCTGTTGGCCGTAGGGTTGGTTTAAGGTTGGGATAGGGGTGGTGGGGGTCCCACCTGGCGTGGCCGGTGCCTGGATGTGCCGCAGTGGAAGGCAGCCAGGTCGCTTGGTCCTCACCCCAGCTGCTGCCTCTCCCCACTCCTCCTCCGCATGCTTCTTGAAGGAGAAAACCTTCTTGAGGCTGGGTCTCTTCTTCAGGGCTCTGCCCAGCGGTGGGGATGTGCTCAAGTCCCCTCTGGGTCTTTTACTCCCTTCTGGTTTGGAGCTATGAAGAGCTTTGGCATCTTTTTCCTTTGCTTTTTGCTCTGCATTTTCCTTCTGCTCCTCAGGGCTCTTCTTGATGAGGAAATTTAAGAAACTTTTGAACCAGGTGCGTTGGGTTTTGCCCTGGGAAGAGTTTTTTGTGCTTTTCCTCTTGGGCTCCGGCTCCTCTTTAGGGACCTCCCCGGGAGCTTTGCTCTCATCATCCAGAGCCTCATCCAGGTCCGGTACTTTGGGTCCCTCCTCCTGGTCCTTCTTGGGGCCAGGTTTGCCACACAAATACTCGCAGAAGTCACTTTTCGACCGTTGCAGCCCATCTGCCTTCCTCCCTCGGCGTCCGGCTCTCTTCTGAAGCGTTTTTTTGGCCATTAGCGAGTTTTCGCAGCAGCTCAGCGAGCGGCTGACGTAGATCTCCAGCACTTTCTTGGCCCCTTGCCTGTCCAGCGAGAGGATCTTGCCTGACGGCTGCCTCCCCACATCCCACGGAGGCTTCTCCGCAGCCAGAGCCTGCACGTTGCTGGAGAAGAAACCAACATTTTCAGCCTGGTTTTTGCCTTCCCCAGGATGCTGTGCAGCCATGTGGGGCACGATGGAAATCACCCCCATTTTGGCTAACAATTGAGCCCAAAGGTGCTTTGGGAGTCCAAGGCTGTTTATGTTTCCAGTAAATGATCAACCCCTTTTATGGTGATCACCCGAGTGCTCCTTACACAGACTGCACACGCAGGGTTTTATGATAAAGTTTTGCTGATAAAGGAAGTGAAACTGCAGGGAAGGGGGGAGACAAGATGGGCATGTCTGCAAGGGGGATCCTAGTTATCATCCAGAGGGTTTGATCCAGCTAGGGTATCACCCAGACACCATGGTGCTGTAGCTTTCCATACTACGATGAAAAACTACACCCCAGGAGTGCCATCCCCTCGATGAATCGCACAACCCAGATTTTTTTAGTATCTACCCTTGAAGCATTGGCTGCTAAAAAACCAAAACAAAACAAAAAAAACCCCAATTCTCCAGCAAGGCTGGGTGCTTCCAGCCCTTGGAGAAGTCAGTGTGGGCTCTTGCAAATATACTTAATCACTGCCAATATTGGCTAAGCACCTTGCGATGATGCAGCCCCTCCACAAGCTCTCACCAGCGTAGGGCTCAGAACACTCAGTCCCTGCCCTTCCCGTCACCCTTTTCCTCCATGTTTTCAAGCAAAATTAAACAGGAGATGCTACTATTGAAAAAACCAAAGAGCTGTGCCTCATGCTGGCTCTGCTTCCGAAACCAAATTCGCCCTTCAGAGAAGCAGACCAAAACCAGACTTTCTCCACTACTGAACAGGGAGTGGGAAGCCAGCACCAAAATCCGGTGCGCTCGAGTGTACAAACCACCCTGGAGTCAGGCATAAGCCTCCACTCAGTCTAGATAAGCTTCATCACAACACACAAGCACACCCACCCGCCCCACCGTGGCCTTTTTTGGGATCAAGGAAGCAAATTTTCTTCATCCAAGCCAACAGCAAAGCCACCCGACCACCCAATAATAAATTGTTCGATTAGATGTAATCACAGCAAAGCAATAACCCCCATCCTACTTCAATTGATTCCAGTACATTGGCCGCATTGTTCTTTATTCGCTCTTTTGGTATTTACCTTTCCATCAGTATTTCTGCGCTTCTGGACATATGTCAAGACAAACTCCTGGGCCACGGGCACTAAGGGTTGTCAGACTCTCCTGGGAGGTGCCTTTTTTATACCCAGGGCTGAGTTAAGTCCTATTTTTAGCAGCCATTCAGGTAGGAGAACGGCCAGTGCTTCCGCCTGGGATCCCTGCTATCACCTCCCTCGTGGCAGAAAACCTGCAGGCGTGAGTTTCGCTGGAGGAGAAAACCATTTCCTTATAGCAAACAAGCATAAAACTCACCTGTCACCTGGTGTAAGCGCTGGCCTTTGAAACCAGCCAAGTCAGCTCTTTGGCACTTGTTTGTTGGTGTGTTGGGTTTTTTTAATGGGTGTGATGTCATGTATGGGCTTTTCTGGGTTGATTTTGTAAGGAGCAGTCATAACTTTCTCAGATAAATGGGGTTTCAATGCAGCAAGCAGATCACCCCACTCACATCCCAGAAGCTTCCAGGAAAGTGGACGTTGGCGGCTGTTGCAGGACCACAGATGCTCTGGGCAAGGTGCTATCAGATTGTTGCCTAACCCTGAGCATGGCTGAGCTGCAATTTCTTTGAAACCCACCCTGGGGTCCTTCAGATAGCCTGTGCACCCACCCTAAAACACGGAACAGGACCCACTTTGCCACCCGAATCCTTTGCACCCACATGACTCCCACTCAGCCTTGCCCAGGGGCAGAGCATCTCCCAGAGCTGAACGTACACAACGCAAATCCGTGCATCCCAACATCTGCAATCTGCCCCTGGGCCAAACAAATCTTCTTACACCTTTCTTACATCAGCAATCCATTTGGCCCCACAGCTATCCCCTTGCACCCCCGTGCCTCTTGCACCCTCCTGCAGGCTGCTGCCTGCCTTCCTCATTGCTATTTTGCCATCTGATGGCAATATTTTGCACTGCACCTTGCGGGGATGTGCTGGATGCAGATGCATTTGCTGTGTGGCGGCTTTGGAAAACCCCTCGGCAAGATTTCCACCCACGCAGTGCTGCATTTTCTCTAGTTTTCAGCTAGGATGATGTGCTGCCCAGGTGCCTCCCGTGTAAAAATGGGTCTTTTCCTGATAACGGGTTCAACGTGCAATTGAACCAGTCCAGGATTATTTTCTTTCTGTTTCTACAAACTGTCTGTGCCATAATTTCCTGTAATTGGGAGAGATCAAATCCATTTCCCTCCATTTCTCCTGAGCCCACATCAATAAATCAGAGTCTGCTATTGATTAGGAATTACCTGGCTTTGTTTTCCAGCATCCCCAGCTACTTCCGATAAATAATTAAACCATCCATCAGGAGCTCCAAGCTGCTAACTAGCACGTAACCATGTCCTTTCATAAGCAGGTCGATTCCAGTGGGTGAGAAGGAGTTTCACAATCAATTTTGTTTGGGTTTGTTTTTTCTTTGCAACATCCATATAACAAAAAGCCCCACATCCACTATGGTCGTGGGGCACAGTTTGACCATCTCCAGTTTGGAGATCTTGCTACTGGAGATCATCCAAACACTGTTGCTGCTCATGGAGGACTTCTCATGATTAAACTGGGAATAAGCATTGACTTCTAGCCTCTTCCAGGCTTTTCCTCTTCGTAGTAACATTTCTGGACACAGCCTGAAGATGGGACATCCAAAGCGACACCAGGAAAAATCTTGATCTGAATTGTGAATCTGGATCCAGACCTTTATCCAAGTTCAGATCCCTTCTGGGATTTGGGACATGCTCAAACCTGATGGGAGAGAGGCAGAGGAAAAAGATGTTTGCAAAAGACCTGAGACAAAGCAAAACCCCCGTTACCAGAGTTGGGGGGAAGAGATCTGGATCCAAACAGATCCGCTTTTCTCATCCATACTGGGAGAGAATGAGGAATCTGGTTGGAAACGCAGTCGTGTGGAGAGAGAGCACACCATGCCAAGGTTAGTATCTTCAGGCCAGCAACGCTGGAGGGAAAAGCGGAACTAAAAGCATGGGGACAACTCACTTATTTACAGGAACTTGCTCCAGGAGATGGAAGAAACCCAAGGGAGAGGTATTCCCCACATGGAGCTGTGAGGTGAGGAGCACCGTCCTTAGAGGTCTTCAAGATTTGGCTAGCCAAAGCCACAGCCAGCCTCACTGGGTATTGGAGGTGACTGTGTTTTAAGTGGACCACAAAGGTCCCTTTGAGCCAACACCAGCCACCTGGGCACAAAAATATCTGCAGTTTCAGATCTGAACCACAACGGGGATGGTGAGGGCAGCCACTGCTCCCTGCGCCAGCCATAGTTTGGCCAGACAGCACAACCAACACGTGGCCTTGGTGGAAACCTCTCACCCCTGTTGTGCGGTGCCTCTGATCCAAGAGGGTGGCGGGCACAAGCCCCCAAAGCAAATCCTCTTTTCTTCTAGCCCTGGGACTGATTTTAGCTGCTTCGCTCAGCGGATGAGCCCCATGAGACAGCCACGGGCACGCACGGGCATTTGCTGCCATGCAACACCCTCCCCAAACACCAGACATGGGGCTGCTGACACGTGGACGATGACCTCCAGAGAATGAGGCACCTGCAAACCTTTGGGAAGCTATCTGCATGCCACCACCCCTGGACTTCTGCCATGGCAACATTCACCGGCTGCTGCGTGCTCTCCCTCCCCACACCCCCACGCCAAACTCCCTGGCGCAAGCGGCGGTTACTCGGCTGTTTACTGAGAGGGATGGGTCCTCGTCCCAGAGGAGCAGCAGGTTTACAGCCCTCCCGACTCCATTTACTGCGGGGAACAGAGACACATCGCCCCAGGAAGGACACAAGGGCTTCCTGGGACCATGGAAAGAGCTCGTCATTGCAGCCCATCATAGCAAAGGTGGCCTTTGGTTTTCACCCTCCAAGTTCCCTCCAGAGCTGTGGCAGCACAGCACAGCCTGAGGAGGGTTGAGCACTTTTGGCTGCTTCCCAGCCAGGAGAGGAAATCCCCGTCCAAGTCCAACAGGATCCTTAGTCATTGCAGGAAAAGCAGGTGAAGAGAGGGCATCTCGCACGCTCCCTGCAAGTGCGGCACAAGCACGGGGGTCGCCGACTGTCACCTGCTCCAACAAAACAAACCACACAGGCTGGAGAAGTGATGGGATGCTCAGGAGTCACCAGGACTGTTCCTCAGCAAGAAAGCCGTGGGGATGAGTTGTTAGGAAGAAGGTCAGGAAAAATGCACCCATAGGTGCATATCCCAAAAGTGACACAGGGGCAGGCCAGGCACTGAGAAAGGTCTGCTTTCCCACCAAAGCTGTTCCTTGAGGCTGGGCAGGACTGACACTGACCCTCTGCTGGATTTCACCCCAAGAAAGATCTGGCTTTATTCTTCTCTGGGACAAAAAGCACCCTTTGTGGAAAGAAAGATGAGGTCTGGGTGCTTCACTGCACCTTCCTGGTATGGTGCATCCCCAGGCTGCAGCTTGGCCAGGTGCTGGCCAACCTCCAGCCCCCTCTCCTAGCAGAAATTGTGGCCTCCTTTCCTAGCTAGTATAGCGTCACAGCCTTTGGGAGGTCCTCATTTACCCCACTAGAGCTTATTGTTTCCTTCTCCTCCATCACTTGTCAAGTACTTCTGTTTTGCCAAACAGCTGGTGATTTCTTCTGGAAGTGAAACTTCTCAGCCAGCGTTTCCGGAGATGTCATACTGTTGACGTTTTGCCAACCAGCCACCACATGTCCCACCACCATTTCTTGCTGGCTACAGCCTACCAGCATCTCCAGGTTCCAGTTAATGGGTATAAAGTAGTTTTGGAGGAGCAACACCAGTTACAGCAAGAGGGGCTGTGGTTTCAGGTTGGCAACAATCAGTTTTTGTGGAAACCTTAGTCACCAACCCTTGCCAAAGTTTCTCTCAAGACCAACAGTTCCCAGACCCGTTCACAGCATTGGTGCCCCAAAAGCGGTGCCAATGCAGCTCTAGGATGGCAGCTTGGGCTTGGGGAAGGG